TATATATATATATATATATATATATATATATATATATACAGACTTGAGATTTTAAGTCCATATCTCACAGAAAGTACATTCAATACTAAAAGTAAAAACCAGGCAGGAAAATTTAGTGAAAAAGACAAACTCTACCATAAATTAGCTAGACTGAACAAACAGCTATAGAACACTTAACAAGAGAAGAATGTGTGTTCTCGTGCACATGGGTAACTCCCCACCCCCACCCCCAGCACAACACAGGGTGGGCTACACATCAAGCTGCAATGAATTTAAATGACAGGAATCATAAGCATGAAAACTATAAATCAATAACAATAAAACTGGAGAAACTTAAACTATATGGAAATTAAACACAAATAACCAATAGATCAAACAAGAAATCACAAAGCAAATGAGAAAAATACTTAGACACAAATTAAAACAGTAACATATCATACCAAAACCTACGGGAGGCAGCTAAAGCAGTGTGCAGAGGCATTTGTACATTTCAACACCTGTATTAAAGAAGTTCCCAATTAAAGCACCTTGGAACTCATCATGTAGTCTAAAAAGGATAAAGTCACAACACCCATCAATTCTTGGGGCTACGCAAGCAAAGCCTTGCCCCTAAGATTGGAGTTAGCTTACAGAGAAAAGAATTCAAGCAGATACCACTGGTGTACTAGGGCTGGGGTGGGGAATCCTGAATTGCAATTTACAACCTCAGTACAGACAAGCCCTACCTAAAAATTCCAAGAGACCCAGTCATAGGAAGGAGTCCTCTGCCCCACCAATTAACCTCTAGCTCACCAACTTCTCACAGTAAACTGAACAATCTGGTTCCTTCTAGCAGTAGGAAGAGAAGAGGAACCACTTTGAAATAAGCCAGAGAATACTCATTCTCCTTTAACAAGATGTTCACTAAGCTGCAGGGGTGATTATCAGGCTAATAGATCTAAAGGTAGGGAAATACCCAGCTCTAGGTCACGTTGGGAATTCTCATAAGTATGGGAGGGTGATGGGTACTTAGATGTATCAGGGTGTAGGAGGAAGGATCATTCTAGCTCACTAAAAGACTGAAGTTTACTCCTAGGTCCAGAGTGCTTCCCATTTCTATCTCATAAAGGTCTATTTACAACAGTTCCTCTTATGTCCAGCTGCCAAGAAAAAAAAAGGCATTCTGAAAGAAAAGAAAAATGGGAGTGAAAGTAAACATCAAACTAGACATGGCAGAGATGTTAGATTTTCCCAGAGCAGGAATTTAAAACAACTATAATTCATATGCCAAAGACTAACGTAAAAGTAGGCATCATGGAAGGACAGACATTATAGGCAGAGAGATGGAAATTTTAAGAGATGGAGAAAGAGGATAAATGCCAGCTATCAAAACCACTAAAACAAATGAAGAAAATAAAAGCTTTGATGTGCATATTACTGGACTGGACACAGCTGGACAGATTCTCTGAGATCAAGGATATTTAAATAAAAGCCTAAATGAGAATAAAATAACAATAACTAAGTGCCATAAGACAACTACAACTGGTTTAAAAGTACATACAACACGAATCAGAGACAAATTCAAAATAAATCAGAATTTCCCCAAAATAGATGTCAAAAGCTAAAACAGGTTCAGAAAACTCAGAACAGCAGGCAGGATAAATCCAAGAAATCTACACCTAGGCACACCATTTCAAAACTATAAAAAATAATCAGAAAGAAAACTCTTTAAAAATTCAGAGACAACACACAAATATATCAAGGAAGAAAACTTGACAAAAACCTCAGATGAAATAGACCAATTTCTGTTCAAATTTACACATAAGATGGCATGCATTATCTATGTAATGAAGGAGTGAGTGGTAGAGCGCCAGCCACACACACACACACACACACACCCTATAAATAGTCCCAGGTCTATTATAGAAATTAAATCACTAATTAATAACCTGTAAAACTGACAGCACTGGATCCAGGTGTGTTCACTAGTGAATTTAACAAACATTTAAAGAATTATACCAATTCCACATTGTTTCAGAAGAAAGATGCGGACTAACTTATTATTCATAGCTAGCAATATCCCAATACCAACGCCAAAGACAATACAAAAAAACCAAAAAGACCAGAATCTCTCATGAGCACATTTCAAAACTCAGCAAAATAGCAAATGAAATCCAAAAGTTATAAAGATTTCTACACCATTACCTAATGTGATTTATTCCAGATTATGCAAGTCTAAACACATTTGAAAAACAATTATGTGCATCATCATATCAACAGGCTAAAGAAGAAAGTCAGGGATCATCTTAATAGATACATTTAAAACTAACAGCTGGAGCAAAGGACATTTCCTCAACCTGAGAATAAAAACAAAACATTAATGCAAGTATCATACTTAACAGTGAGAAAGCTTTTCCATTAATATAAGGAATAAGTCAAAATAGAAGGAAGTTATTTCTTTGTTCATTTCATTGTTTTGGTGGGAGGGTGTGGTAATGAAGGAGTCAGGGTCTGACCACTTGAGCCACACTACCAGCTTACCATTTCTTTTCAACATTGTACTTAAAACAGTTTTAATATTAAGGTGATTATATAAATGGTATTAAGCTTTCTAATTTCAAATTCTTCTTGCTCAGGGATGTTGAAGAACTGTGTTTGTGTGTGTGTGTGTGTGTACTAAAGAATAAATTTAACAAATTGACAAAACTCTAGTAGGAAAACTACAAAACTGAAGAAATCCAATAAGAACTATGTGGGAAAATGTTACATGTTTGTTATCAGGAAGACTCGATATTACCAAGATGTTGGTTCTTCTTAACTTGTTCTATAAATGTGGTTATAGTTCAAGTTATCTGTGGATAATACTAACCAACTCTAGAGTTTTTATGAACATCAAAAGACCCAGCATTGACAATGCAATACTGAGAGAAAACAAAGTAAGAGACCCAACACTACCCGACTTCAAGACTTCCTGTGAATCTATTAACTGTGAAAGACAAATAGGTAAATGGAACATACTAGAAATAAAAAAATAGAAAACCCCCAAATATACCCACATAAATATAAAGCGATGTCTGATGAAGGAGCAATGGAGGAAACAAAGATAGGCTTTTCCAACAAATGATGGTGATATAACACTAACAACAGCTTTTCAAAAATGAATGTAGAGGGCTGGGAAGTTGGCTCACTACCTTGCATGCATGAGGCCCTAGGTTCAATTCCAGACCGGGAGAAAAGTATTTGTAAAAGATAAATCTTATAAAGGAATATTATGCCAAATATTTAAATAAATTGTAAGGTTAAGGTTAACAATAAAATATCCTAAGTATCCAACTTTAAAGGTGGACCAAAGACCTTAAGGGACATCTCACCAAAGATGATATAAAGATTAGGAAATTCAACACTCAATAATTATGGAAAGAACACTAGAACACTGACACTGCAAAAGCTGCAAGGATGTGGAGCAGAAGGAACTCTTGTTCACTGCTGGTGGGATGTATGATAGTACAGCCACTTAGGAAATAGTCTACAATGAAGTACTGGTCACAAAAACAATCCATGTCACCTGTGCTGGTGGCTCACACCTGTAATCTTAGCTATTCAAGAGGCTGAGATCTGAGGATCACGATTCAAAGCCAGCCCAGGCAGGAAAGTCTGGGAGACTCTAATCTCCAGTTAGCCACCAGAAAACCAGAAGTGGCACTGTGGCTCAGAGTGGTAGAGTGCTACGCTTGAGCAGAAAAACTCAGAACCCAGTCCCAATTTCAAGCCCCACAACTGATGGAAAAAATCCGTGTCTCCTAGGGGTAGGTGGGGCAAGGAGTGCACAGCAGAGCAGTGAAAATCCTCGATCTGATACTAGGCCTGACTTCATGACATTACACACTGTCCAAACCCCTTCATAAGTACACCCTACCCTTTCTGTGGATTTGAGTAATTATGATGTGTCAGTGTCGTTTCGCCAACTGTGACAAATATACCATGATGGTGGGAGATAGAGGAAATGTCTGTACTTTCCTTTCAAATGATTTTGCTGTGAACCTAAAAAAAAAAAAAATCAACAACAAAACAAACCAGCTCAAATGTGTACTGCAATCTTGTCACCTTAAGGCAGTTTAAAAAAAAGTATGAAAACAATATGAGGAAACCTGTTTGGGGATGTCAGTGGGGGCAGGGAGAGGTAACAGAGGAGGTAAAACAGTCAGAATATGGGGTAAATATGTGGAAATAGTGGTATCCCCTCTTATAACTAATGTCAGCCGATAATTTTGAAAAGAATTAAGAGGCATTAGAAAAAGAACAGCTGAATGAATCTAAAGGAAATATGGAAATGAATGAGATAGAGAATCTAACAATACAGAAAGTTAATGAAACTAATAGTTTTTTGAAAAGATGAACAAAATTGGGAAGCTCAGCTAGATTAATAAAGAAAAAAACTCAAACTTACTAAAAAAAATATAGGCATGGTGGCTCATGTCTATAATTCTAGCTCCTTGGGAGGTAACTGAAGGGAGACAGGTTCAATGCCAGCCTGGGTGTGGCAGCAAACAACTCTTATCCTGGCTTGGAAGGGGGGTAGTGTGGGGGAGATATCAATGGCTTGATGCAGAGGAACATGACTGCCCTCCACAGTGATACAGGGAAGCCTAGGTAGAAGGATGGAAGCCCAGGCATAAAAGCACAATATTACTTCAAAATAGCTAAAACACAAAGGGGCTAGAGACATGGCTCAAGTGGGAGAGTACCTGCATCATAAACACAATGATCTGAATCCAAAAGTTCAGGCCAGTCAGGGCAAAAAAAGTTCATGAGACCCTCTATCTATTGAAAAAGCTGGATGTGCTAGGCATAGGTGGCTCATGCCTGTGATCCTACTCAGGAGCCTGAAATCTGAGGACCACTGTTCAAAGCCAGACTGGGCAAGAAAGCCAATGAGACTCTTATTTCCAACCAACCACCAAAATGACAAAAATGGAGCTGTGGCTCAAACAGTAGAGTGCTAGCCTTAAGCAAAAAAAAAAAAAAAAAAAGCTCACAGACAGTGTCTAAGCCCTGAGTTCAAGTTCCAGGATTGGCAGGGGGATTAAAAAAAGGAAGAAAACAGAAAAGGCTGGGACTGCTGGTGTACACCTGCCATCCTAGCTATGGAGGGAAGTAAAAATAGGAAGAACATGGTCCAGGTCAGCCAGATCAAAAACTAAGACCCTATCTCAAAAATAACCAGAACAAAAAAGGCTGGAGGGATAGATCAGAGGAGAACAGAGCCTGCTTAACATGCAAGAGACTCCAAAAACAAACTCTAGTACTAAGAAAAAATAAACTCAGAACATAGAGCTATAAAATCAGAGCTAAAAACTATAAAGTACATCCCCATGGTCTTGTGTTTCCTAGATATGATACTAACAGCAATAAAAGAAATGAAGTGGATGTAATTAATTAAAACCTGTGTTTCAATATATAGTATTGAGGAAATGCAGTTACAATCCACATTTAAAAAAATTGAAAACCATACATCCAATATCACTTATCTTTATATATTTAGAATATATAACAAACTCTTAGAGCTTCCTAAATCAATAGGAAAAGGGTGCAAACAGCTATGTCTCCAAAATCCAAATGTCCAGTAAACTTCATGAAAAGATGCCCAGTAAGTTAGTAGGGAAAGGCAAATTATAATGGTAATGTGCTATTTATTACTCCCACCCATATAGAAGGCTATATCACAAAGATAAACAGTAGCAAATGCTAATGAGGATGTAAAGAAACAGAGGCTGTTGGTCGAAATGTTAATATGACCATGGAAGTTTCTAAGTAGGTTAAATAAAGATTACTCTTATGATCATTACCATGTAGTATTAGCCAAGAGAAATGAAAATATAAACACACACAAAACCTCAATCATCCCAGAATCATTTTGCTCTGTTGTACCCTAGAGAACCAAAGTCAGAGCAGTTAGTGATGGAAGTCACCAGGAGCCCACGGCCGTGCTAGGAAAGCCTTTTGGACGTCCTGCGCAGAAAAGGCCCTCAGTTACCTGCTGATGTTGGTTGTTTTTTTCACCCAGGTCCCTGGAAGCTGCAGCTTCTTTTCTCTTTTTGGTGACCTCTTCTCTCTGCTCTTCACACTGCTCCTTCACCTCTTTCACCTGGTTGATACACTGGCTCCTTGGGTGAGAGAAAGCAGAAAGGTGGACAAATGTGTGTGGATGTGTCTATGTACCAAGTGATCCCCTGTGGTCATCCCTTTCTGTGAGAGACCTTGGCCATCCCCTTCCTGCTTTGGGCACTCTGCTGTGAAGAGGGAGTGTAGGACAAGCAATTTGTGGCTGGAAAAATATCAAATCACTAAAGATTTATTACAATGCTCTAAAAGAGATAAACTGCACAGATTTAAAAAAAGAAAAAAAAACATTTTAAAATAAACAGGAAGCCAGGCACGGGTGGCGCACACCTGTAATTCCAGCTACTCAGGAGGTTGAGATCTGAGGATTGTGGTTCAAAGCCAGCCTGCACAGGGAAGTCTATGAGACTCTTATCTCCACTTAATCACCAGAAAACCAGAAGTGAGACTGGTAGAGCAAAAAAGAAGTCAGTGCCCAAGTCCTGAGTTTGAGCCCCACAATGGACAAAAAATGAAAATAAACAGCTAAGTCATGGTAACTCACACCTGTAATCTTAGTGAATCAAGAGGTTGAGATCTGAGGATCGAGGTTCAAAGCCAGCAGGGATAGTCCTTGATACTTTTAAACTTCCAAAAAGTCAGAAGTAGGGGCTGGGAAGGTGGCTCAGTGGTAGAGTGCTTGCCTTGTATGCATGAGGCCCTGGGTTCGATTCCTCAGCACCACGTAAGCGAAAAAAGCCGGAAGTGGTGCTGTGTCTCAAGTGGTAGAGCGCTAGCCTTGAGCTGAAGAGCTGAGGGACAGCGCCCAGGCCCAGAGTTCAGGCCCCACGACTGGACCCCCAAAAACAAAAAAGTCAGAAGTAGAGCTGTGGCTCAAGTGGTAGAGTGTTAGCCTTGAACAAACAAGCTTAGGGACAGTGGCCAGGCCCTGAGATCAAGCCACAGGATTAGCACACAAAAGATTGTTTTTTGGCACATGCTATTAGCACATAGCTCCTAACTTAAACCTTGAGATGTCCTGTCTCTAAGGAGTATTTTTTCTTATTCTTTGCACCAGGCCTGAGTTTACGTGGTTAAGATGACCCAGGAGGTGGGTTGGGGATCACGGGTGCTCCTGCACTAGGCTAGATGCTTTCATGATGGGGCTGACTGCCAGGGACTGGAGATTCAGTTCAATCATTTGATTTGGTGAATGGGTAGCATCTTGTCTCCATGGGATCTGAAGCTCCTGTCCCTCCCTACCACCAGCACACCAGCGCCTACCACTTAGCTGTTCCCTTTGTAATTAAACCATGATACTAAATTTAGCTGTATTGAGTTCTATAACTCAGGCTGCCATATTAGAAACCTGAGAGGGGTGGCAGGTAGCCCTGCATTTGTAGCCATCAAGACTAAGTGGTGGTGATCACCGAGGACCAATGGCTGCATACAGATGGAGTCTTGTGGGCTTGAGCCCCTTAACCTGTAGGTCTGCTCTAACTGTGTAGCAACAAAACTAAATATAGCTGGAGGATGCTAGTGTGAACGAACTGCTGTGGGATGAACTCAGGGGCTTCGGCCTTCCACCTGGAATGGAAGAGTTTTTCAGCAAGTATCAGAGCTATCTCTGTTGAAATAAGAGAGTCACCATGTGCTTTGCAAATGGGGATGCTAAGAGGTGGCCAGAGTCATTTCCCATTGTGCCATGTTCTCTCCCCATAGGGTTGGCTATCTTATCTGAGTTGCAGCTGGGCTCCGGGCAGAGGCCAGCATGAGTACTGCACTCAACTCCTAACTTGGGAGATACACACCAGCAGTTCAAAGCACCACCCTGTCCCCTGTCACTAAATAACACACACAGAAGGGGATCTGGAGCTGGAGAAGCAATGAAACACACCATTCCTCATCTCAGATTAAATGTAAACTTCACTGAAATCAACTTCTGACAAACACACAGCCACCAGGGGCTTAAAAACAAAGAGGCAGCAGCTTCCTGAGGAGCTGACAGCACAGGTCATCCACCCTGCCTGAACCTTTCAACTTACAAAGGAGAAATACTGGAGAAATATTGGCTCACTTGCTCTCAACCTACCAGTTAAGTACAAAGGGCCTCTCTCTCAGCAGTGTAAATGAAGTCAGTTTCTCACATTCCATTTCTGTAGCAGTAAGCTGAACTCAGTACAAAGTTTAAGGCTTGAGACACAGGTCATGTGGACTGTATTGCTTCCTGAGAGCCCCAGGCAGTCCGTTTTCCTATGTGTACACACTGAACTGTAGGCACACAGAGGACTTGGTGCAATTGTTGATTGACCTCAGTACCATTAGGATTCCTGGGCTTAATACAGGAACCTATCAAGGTAGATGATCTCATCATCCAGGACGCTGACTGTTCCTCTGAGTATGGCTGCTACATTTGCAAACTTTCCTCATGGTGTGCAAAGGACAGTTCATCTCCTGAGCTGACTCTAGGGAGAGAATGTAATGCTATGTTTGTATGAATTAATGCATGATCACTTAGTAATGTCTGCATAGGTGAAGGAGGAAAAGTGGGAATGTGTGCTGCCTAATTCACAGCAAAAACCAAGACTTGTGGAAGCTAGAGCTTTGTACCAGCTTTTGTGTTCTCTTCACTGACTTCTATAAAGGGATTAAGAAGGTGAGTTAATAGAGGATGTACAGTCATGCATGAAGGGCTTACTAATTCTTACATAGTGCACAACTTTATGCTAACCAGGTATCCAGACCTTTTCCTCAAATTCTCAAAAAGGGTCTGTCATCCAAGTGAAGGACAGCTAGCTCTTTTTAGCTTCCAATACTCCACAAACATCATTCAGAAAAAATCCTGCGTCTGACACAGGGCCGTAGACACAGCTAGTAAGACACAGGCAGTCAGCCAAAAAAGCTGTCAGTCTAAGCCCTCAGTCCCACTGCCCACTGCGTGGTTGTTCTGCTCTGGTTGGTTTCCAGCTAGGTCAACTCTATTAAGGCCATTAATGATATTTCCATTTCAATCCATGGAAGGAAAATATTAGCATTAAGATATATCTTAAGAATGAATGATAGAGCCAGATGCCAGTAGCTCACACCTGTAATCCTAGCTAGCTAACTCAGGAGGCTGAGATCTGAGGATCACCGTTCAAAGCTAGCCTGGACAGGAAAGTCCCTGAGACTCTTATCTCCAACTAACCACCAGAAAACTGGAAGTGGTACTGTGGCTCAAGTGGTAGAGCACTAGCGCTGAGGGACAGCGCCCAGTCCCAGAGTTAAAAAACCGACAACTGAAAAAAAAAAAAAAGAATGACTGATAGCAAGACTAGGGTATTTCATTTTTGCATAAATCCAATTCCTAAGTAGCCTAACTCAGATTTTTTAAAATATAATTTTGTTATAATTTTATTGTTAATAGTATTGTTATTAAGAGGGTTACTCTTTCTTAAGTCAGGTAGTAAGTGCATCCCCCGCCTTTTTTTTGGCTAGTTCTAGGGCTTGAACTCAGGACCTGGGGCTATTCCTAAGCCTCTTTTTTGGGGGGGGTCCGGTTGTGGGGCCTGAACTCTGGGCCTGGGCACTGTCCCTCAGCTCTTCAGCTCAAGGCTAGCACTCTACCACTTGA